AGGCTATGCACAGATTCTTCAATTTCCGTTCTCAGAAAATGACAATCCGTCAAAAGAAGGTGGGTCTTTTTTGAGGGGATTAGAGAATGCTGGAAATGTTAAGATAAAAGTGGGCGGAGTGTGTTTCCTTCAATGCATTCGAAATGAGAAAAAAAGAAGTTGGAAAATCTGTCAGACAGCGAAACTTTTTTGTTTCTTTTAATTTTAAATTTTAAGAACAGAAGCGTAAAATGAAAAAAAGAAAAAAGGAAGGAAAAAGAAAGAAACCGGAAAAGAATGAAGGATTAAATTTGGGGGTTTGTAAAAGAGTAATTCTGAAGTCAGTGGTGTGGTTTTTTTCTGTTGAAAAACACGAGAATTTCGAAATAAAAAAACCGAACGCAGGTTCAGAGGTGTGACGTTGGGAGTAAAGAAAACAGCTGCAACTGGAAGAAGAAGAAGAGCCAACAAAATAATATATCACAGAGTTTGATGATGGTGATAAAAGTGAAAAGAGTTATGGTTGTGTTATTGGAACGATGTGAAATGAAAAAGAAAAGAGGAAAAAAGACAAAATCATTTGTTTGGATTTGAGAAAGCGTTTCTTTTTTCGCATCTTTCCTTTTTCTATTCCTAAGATTTCGAAGAGCAGGCTATTCCCAATGGTCCACGCACTCAACAAGGGCAGATAAAGAAAGATAGGAAAAACATCGGACCTTTGATCTTGGACGAAAATTTGGGAAATTGAATCGATTCCCGCGAATTTCGAAAAAATTATTACAATAAAACCTGTAATAGAAGAGCCCTTTAACTTTCATCTTTGAGCCATTTTTTTCTCGTTTCCCGTCAGAGATAGAAAAAGTTGCCCACTGTTTAACTTTTTATCGTAATATCAGAAATTTCTTGTCCATTCTCTTGTTTTGAAACATTTTGATAGCTTGCATCGGAATTAAGATATTTGAGCTTAAACTTGACATGGGGGCCCTTCTATTAGAGGTTTTATGGAAAGATCATTACACCTCTTTTAAATGTGTTGTAGCTGATAAAAACTCAAAATGTTCTCAATTTTCATTGTATTTTTCTTAACACTGGAAATAATTAATAGGATTCTAGCGAAGAAAAAACACAGAGAAAAATATGTCTTCGTTTCAGCAAACAGGAGAAAAAGAGTCTCTGAACTTGTATTTATACAACAAAAAAAAGAAAACACATGGGGAGAGCCTGGTGAGAAGGTGGAAAAACAAGCCAAGGAGGGATTGAATTTTCATTCCAAATCCATTTAGAATACTTGATTTCTGAATACTAAATACAACGAGCAAGCATGTTCTGAATTTTCAAGTGAAACGAATGAGAAGGTTTAAGCATGTGTTGTAATGATGCTCATTGAAAAGTAGTTATTATTTATATTTGCAAACGAATTGAAAACAAAACAAACAGAGAATTTCGAATTCGTTGGCACTGCCGGTACCAACCTTAATCTCTTCCAGAGATATCGCAAACACTCTAATAGAACGATCCCCACCCCTCCAAACTTTGAACTTTGAGCCAATTCATCTCAATTCCTGTGCAAGATATCAAAAAATGTGACCACTGACAAAATATTTCTGATATTACGATAAACTATTTATCAGTTTTCAACTTTTTAAAATATTTTTTTACAGGAACCGAGATAAATTGGCTCAAAGATAAAATTTTGGGGTCCTTCTATTACAGGTTTTAATGTATTTACAAATGAATTGAAAAGAAAACAAACAGAAATTTTTGAAATCGAAGGCAGTTTAATTTAACCGGCACCAGGGAGTCGGAAATCAGATGATCCGATTTTCAGTTTTTTTTTCCGAATTTTTTCGGAAAAAATTTCCGAAAACTGCGAAGCTTTATAATTCAATTTTCATTTATATATTGTTCAATCAGAAAAAATATCTCAGATGTACTCTAAAAAATGAATTGAATTTTTTAGAAAAAAAAATTGGAAAGCCGATTTTCCGAATAGGGTTTACCGAGCAAGCCCGCATTTGTACTTCAAGCTCAATTATCTCGGTTCCATGGAGAGTTATCAAAAATCTGGCTACTGATGAAGATGTATTTTATTATCGGTTCCTGTAAAAGATGTCAAAAAGTGATCAACTGACAAAATATTTTTGAAATTATGAGCAGCATTTTTTTTTAACATTTTAATATCGTTTACAAGAAATGAGAAATATGTGCTCTAAGTTGACGGTTCGAGGAGCAGTCTATTAGAGTGTTTACAGTAATCGAGTTCAGCTTGAAAGTTAGGAATGGCGTTCCATTAGAGAATTTAAAACTATAAGTTTGTGAACTGCAAATTATAAAACTACAAGTTTTCGAACAAATTTGCAATTAATATGATAGCCTGATTAGGTAAATATAATAAGACTAAAAGGGATATGAAATAAAAAGAGTCTCACACTTTTTCTTCTTGAAGTTTTAAAAACTACAACTCCATCAGAATCTGAACTTCTCTTCTAATGTGGCCACAATTCTAAGCCACAACTACTCCAAGAATCTGTCTATTCTTGGAGACAAAACCACGTCAACGAACGCGATTCTGATTAGTAGAAAATGGAAATAAAATGGAGAAAATGACTGCGGAGGATGTGAAGAAGTTTTCCGTTGTCTCGACGTACTATTCTATTCTATTCGGACGAAAAAAAATGGACGACGTCAACATGGACAGCAGCACACACAAAATGTAGGAGTTTTTTCTCAAATTACCACAATTATAAAAAAAAGAAGAGGTAAAAGAAGAGAAAAAAACAACAGAAACGAATGAAGAATAAAAAAGTGTCAACAGGATTCTTTATTTCATTGCAGAAGTCCATTTTATCTTTGTTTTTAAGACAATGTGAGAGGGAAAAATGTGGGAAAAAGAGTCAATTATAGTAGATGAAACATCTTCCAACATCTCAGATAATTGGAAAGAAGCAGTAAGAATAGAAGGGTGGAATATCTGAGTTCTGGCACTGAGGAAGCAAGATCATAAGTTTTTAAAAAACTGAAATAGAAAATCGCTGGGTTTTTACAATTATAGCTTGCTCGCTTTCGGGGAATCCATTTTGACGACGTCAATACTCTAAAACAGAAGTTCTAGAAGTTTTTATTATTTTAGCGAGAAAAAGAAAATAATTGAAAAACATGGTTTCACAGCTTTATTATTGAAGAACGCACAATTATTTTTACTATTCTAATACAGGACATTTCGAGTTGTGGAAGAGAAATGCCAGTGGCCGTGGCCGTAGGTCCCACAACGAAAACCACTGTAGCCTAAAAATAATTATGTTTCCCGGATTTATTCTCTCGATTTTTGTGCATTTTCAGTCGATTTTTTCTATATTTATTCTTTGATTTGTTTGAGGAAAATAAAATATTTTTCTAGGTTACGGTAGCTGTCGTTGTGGGACCTTTGGCCGCTGTCACCGGCGTTTCTCTGGCGCTAGAAGATCCTTGGCTAGAGTCTTACTTGCTAGAGAAGCTCATTTGCTAGAACTTTGTCTCGATTGCTTGAACTTCTAGGGCCGGGAGTCTGAAGGGGAAAAATGCATCGTTTCGCAAACTTGAAAAAAGGCCGAAACTTTACGATTTTAAGCGAAAGTTTCGCAATTTATCAGAGGTGCTCGTCCGTGAGGTTCGTCCGTGAGGTTCATCCGTGGTGAGGTTCGTCTATGAAGTTCGTCCGCTAGTTTCGTCCGTGTGAATTGCAAAAAAGTTTCACAATTTATCAGAGGTGTTCCGCGAGATTCGTCCATGTGGTTCGTCCGTGAGATATGTCTGTGAGGCCGTGAGGTTCTCGTCCGGCAGATTCGTCCGTCAGCTTCGACCGTCAGGTTCGTCCGTCAGCTTCGACCGTCAGGTTCGTCCGTCAGATTCGACCGTCAGCTTCGACCGTCAGGTTCGTCCGTCAGATTCGACCGTCAGGTTCGTCCGTCAGGTTCGTCCGTCAGGTTCGACCGCCAGGGCCGTCGAACCTGACGGTCGAACCTGATGAAAAAACCAGACGGTCGAACCTGAAGGACTGAAAATCGACGAAAAGCTGAAAATCAAAGACAAATTTCCATACTGCAAGAGCCTGAAACACAATTTGGTCAAAAACGGCAATTACTCTTTGACTACACCACTCTTTGACTACACCTACTCTTTGACTCCACATTCTCTTTGACTACAAAATCTCTTTGACTACATTTATCTCTTTGACTACACTTGTCTCTTTGACTACAAAGTCTCTTTGACTACACTTTTTTGTTTTATAGTACTTTTTGACTGAATTTATTGGAGTTTCGGATTTTTCTCTCAAATTGTAGGCTTAGGCTAAAACACCAGTTTTCCGGTAACCGTTTCAGCATAAGCCTTTGATTTGTACAGAAAATAATAAAATTTTGGAAATCTCAGCGAAAAAAAGTGAGAATTTTGCTGATTTTCGCGAATTTCAGTACTTTTTTCACTGTGATGTATTTTTGGAATTGTCAGTTTTTTGTTTAAAATTATAGGCTTAGGCTCAAATTCTTCTTCTATTCTGTGAGAACGCCCACAAAAACTGCAGAAAATTTTAAAATTTTAAAAAGTGTAGTCAAAGAGACTTTGTAGTCAAAGAGACAAGTGTAGTCAAAGAGATAAATGTAGTCAAAGAGACTTTGTAGTCAAAGAGAATGTGTAGTCAAAGAGTGGTGTAGTCAAAGAGTAATTGCCAGAATAATAGTCTATGAACTTTGTTGACCACATCATGAATATTTTTTTGAGGTCAATTATACTTTTTTCGGTCAATTTTATTCTTTGTGAATTCTTTGAATGGACTAGTTGAACGACTGGGAAACCGTTGAAAATTTATATGTACCGAAAGAAAAAAACACGACAAAGATAAGAAAAAAGGCAAAAGGATCAAGTGAATGGGGGAAAAGGATGTGTGGATAAAAGGGACTACGACTACATCATCAGAAACTGAAAATAAAGAGTATCTTGTAAATTAATGACCACAATCGAAATTTGGCTTTTATTAAAGAAATTAACTACATGTAAATGAATTCGGAAATATCCGGCTGCAGCAATTCGGCTCTTGCCAGTACAGCATTGAACAATGCATCATTCGTCAGATCCATAGCTTTACGGCATTCAGTCAAACTGAATGATTTTGATCTGGTTCCGCACTCCTTTTCGTCCAATCCAGGTCTACTTGCGTCTCGAACAAATGCGATGAAAGCAGCGGCCAAGTTATCAAAATACATCATAAGCTGGGAACAGAATCCAGCACGAACTGATTCTTCCATCGGCAAGAAGTCCATTTGCTTGATGAACGAATTCACACATTCTAGAGTTCTACATGGAGATAGTTCTCTGTAAACAAACTATCTGAGTAATATTCCATCTTAAAGATAACTCACATTTGAGGGGCTTTTGTATTTTTCGAAACCATAACTCCAGCATGCTCAAGAATCAGTCTCACACCTCTCGAATCATTCCGTGCTCGCAAGATTCTATGTTTCTGATACGGAGCTGACAAGCAAACGGCAGATCGATCCAAATCAATTATGCAAATGGGCCAGGGACTGGATGTTCCGCTCATAATAACCGATGGTAGCTCGGCCTGAAATTGAATAATTTTCAGTTACATTTCAGTCTTTTGAAAATAAAATTACCCTTCTGACGCCCTGTAATCTCAAATAAGGATTGTATTTGTGACGATAAGGACGCAAGCAACACCATTGATGAGGTTCAGGAACAAAGAAGGCTAGAGAGTAAAGAAGTCTTGCCACTAAAACGTGATCTGATCCAATGATTACAGTATGTCCTTGGCTTTGCAAGCATCCGGAGATCGCCTTGGCAAGTATCCGATTTTCGGAGAGAGCAGCTCCTTTTTCGGTGAAAAGGGTGTTTTTAATCTGAAAATTATTTATAATAAATTTCCATATTTCAATTATAAATCTCACCATCAATGGTCTTTCCATAGAAATGAGTGGGAACCGTTCGAGGGCAGAAAGCAGTGAGAGAAGACGAGATAATTCAGAAGTCACTCGAACAAGAACATCATCTGAATCCTCCGAGAACAGAGATGCCTTCATTTTGGGCACCGAATCTCCGACCATTCTTTCAAACCAAGAGTGTCGATCCAAGTACCATTCTTGTTTTAGGTGTGACATAAGAAACGAGATTGCGTAGGTTACGGTGGAACCGGTCCGAGTCTGAGCTGAGAAAATGAATGCGGCTACAAGTAGATGTCGGGATGGCGAAACAATCATTTTGTGCTGAAGGGGGCACCGCGAATGGGGAGCGCTGGAAAATTTAATTTGGTGGAATTTATTGGATTTGCGCAAAGAATCCACTCACTTGCATATCAACTCTGCCAGAACACATTTAGCCACAAACGCTTCGTCCGTAACATAAGAATCTCCGAAATCAATTTGATCGTCGAAAAAATCAAAAATATCTCTGGGAGGTGGAGTATTCGTCGGTTCTCTCTCATCTCGAAAATTGAAAACGTTTGGGTTAGGTGTCGAAGTTTTGATTTCAAATGCATCTTCGAATTTTTTAGCAGGAGGGCTTCGACATAATGCAGAGAGATCGCTGTGTGTTGAGACACCAACGCCTGAGTCAACGCATGATCTTCGAAGTTCTGTAAACGAACAATACCATCTTGAACTAGATGAATGACTTACCATCATCGTTGGTAATTGGTGACAGCCTGTCCAGCTCATAGTGTTCCGTTAGATGTGCCACGCAGTCACTTGTCTGAGGATCTATCGATGTAGACGCAATTTTGTCTTTCAGGTACTCGGCAAGCTCTCGATCCTCTTCGTTTGGATATTTGCTTGCCAACAACTTTCCAAGATGTCCCGTATCGTTTGGTGAAGGCGAGGCAAGTGTGAAACTGGTGTCAAACCGTTCATCATCTATTAACTTTCCCTCACAGCAGTGATCAAGTCCCTCGTCTCTCAATGATTTCCCACCACTTTCAGGACTTTCTGTTATTCGAGACTCGTCCATAGTCAATGTCTTTGTACTGGTCGTTGCACTATCCGTCATGTATTCGTCCAAATACTTCAAAGTTTTGTATTTATAATCACCTGCTTGCATCATGTCGAGGGTGCTGAAAGAGTCCACTAGGTTGTCGCCTAGCCCTTCCAGAATCGTCAACTCAATCTGAAGGTTTTTTTTAATTTTCAATTCGATGAAAATGTCATACTTTTAATGGATCGTCAATTTCTTCAAATGATACCGATTGATTGGATCCAGACGAATCCATCAAACTTTCTGCATCGGCAATTGACCCATCTTCACCAGAGAGATTCACTGGAGATATTGAAGTAGAAGGAGTGACGTCCCAAACGAATTTCAGCTCAGGGCCAGTCATAAAGTCAAATTGCGACCAAACTATTTTCATTATCCCGCAGTTTTCACTGGTTTTAAGCGGCAGCTGTCGTCGCACAGCGTGCTCTTTTTTCTGCTGCTGAAAATTGAAATTTTTGTTCTCTAATTATTGCTCACTTTCTCTTTGCTATCCATCTAACCTTAAATCTGAGTCTTTTGACAGCGGCGGAATACATTTCTCGCAATTTATAGTTTTAACTTTAGACATAATTTTCATTGTATCGATGCCAAATTCAAAAGTGATAAGCCAGTGTGACCGATAAACAAATTGATAAGAGACGATAAGAAACAAAGCGATACTCACATCCTTAAGCGCATCGTATGTGGTAAAATATTCATCCGCTTCCATACGGCTGTTTCAGGCAAACTTTTTTTTCTGTAAATTGCAGCAGTTGCGAAAGAAGAGAAAATCGATACTTTGAGAATGTTGCAGCAACTTTTTGGGGGAACTAGAAAAGTGAAATGAACAAGAAGAACAGGAAAGATTGATGCTATTTACACAGGCACACGATGGAATTGTCCTGTAGGTTAACAACTGTTTGACTGCCTGCGTTTCCTCGATCCGCACTGTTGCTTATTTACTACTGCCTCACGAGAGAGCGGACGAGATAATCGATGAATGAATCAGCGTTTTAAGAATTTTAATAAGCAGACCTTAACCAAAAAATTGAGAACCACTACTTCGTGTTAATAGGTTGTTGTTCAACTGCGATAGGTCTCTTGGATTGCATCCAAAACTTTCTTCCGGAAATTCAACGACTGGTCTTGCTTTTCTTCATTCAGCATATAAATACAGTTCTAGCAATCAAATATTTACAAAGTATTAGATGTGAGATCTTGGTTAAGAGTTAGCTGGAAGAATTGATCACTGACGGTCCATATTGAAAGCGGTAAAATCGCCGTTGCGAATGCGATTTAGTCGGCTGGGGTTGATAGCGAAACGGCATCTTTTGTCGATTTTTTTGACGATCAGGTCCCTGAAAAAATAACTGAAAACAATCTATAGAAGGCGTCTTACTTGAGTGGAGGGGAAAGTTGCTCGACCATCACCGAAACAGCATCGAATGGCTGCATGAGCATGTCCAAACTGAGCCAACCGCTCAAAGCGCACTTATTGTTAAGTCTCTTGGTGACACATGGAAGAGTACATTGAAGTGATGTGCAGAGTTCTCCGAGATGGTCAGCAACAATGAAGGCATTTCCTCCAACGGTGGCAGCGAATTTGATATTTGAGTCTTGGGAGAACGCGGTCAGATTCGAACGAGCATAGCATTCTTTATCACACTCTAAAATGATAGGAATATGAAAAATGCTACTTGAGCGCTGTATCTACCTGACATAACATCATCTACCACTGGGTTGAGACACGTCTCCATACGCTCAAAGAGGACATGCTTCGTGGCACACATGTATTCTACACTGCTGCTGGCCTTCGAGAATATTTTGTTGTGGTCGCAAAACTGTTCCTTCTTCAGGCATGTGAGAGCTTGGGCGTGGAGAGAGCACACCTTTCTAGCCTGGTTTACGACATTCTTCATCGTCCACAATGATGTTGTCGAATTGATGAACGGATCGATGCACTTTCTCATACAGTATGGGACGCCGAGAGCACGGAAAATGGTGTCAACATCGAGCACTGAAAATTGATTTCCGTTAGGAATGAGTTTGTAATGTTTTGCTTACTCTGCTCCTCGTGAGGTACGACATCTTTATCATCATGGGCTGGCTCGATGACACCGCTGATGGTGGAGATGAACAAGAAAGTGAGAATCAACAAAAAGAAAACGTTGCGCATCTGAAAAATGCATTTTTATTTGTCAAGCTGAAAATTTCTTGAAAAAATAATAGCTCCATTCTAATGGCGAATAGTCAATTTTACTGGGCGGAAAGAGATTGGTGATGAGCTGCGTTTTTTTCGCGGGGTAGGACGAAGAATATTTCCCGCGAAAACTTCGGTTTGCAAGTCTCGAACACCGAAAACGAGCGAAAACAAAAAATGGCTGAAGCAAAATAAAAATTAAAGGATCATTTACAGTATCCCGCAGCTGCGTCCTGCAACGATATTCGAAAGCCCGCGCACCGAATTTCATTCAAGTTCCTCTTCGGGCTTCATGTCGGTTTCTCATGTTTCTTTCTGTTTCCAAGAGTTTTTTTTTCAGAGCGATTTTTATTGGGTTTTGTTTCTCAAACACGTGAAACAATATTTTCGCATGCATGAAACATTTAAAACACATTTTTCATGTCTTGAATACCACTATACATTTTCATGTACTAGTTAACATAGTTCTCCTTTTTATCGCCATAATAATTTAACTATTCTCTACTTCTTTATTATACTGACTAAATGGCCATATGCGCCAAATTTCAATTTTCCGCGAACATTTGCCGCAAACATCACATTCCACGCCTCCATTTTGGCGCGTAATCGTCTGCTTGAAAATTTAAATAACAATTTTCGTTATGGGTCTTGATTCGTTTTTTTTAATTATAATGATCTTTTCTGAACACATGAAATACATTTTTTCGCTTGAGTATGTTCAGGAAATATCTTTCATGTCACTATTATCCCCATTACTTTTGTTACTCGTACGAAAAGCTGGTTTCGTAACATTACTTTTCTTCCTTAACTTTTCCTTCTATAATTGGCTTTTTATAGAGATTAACTATGACATCGATCAAAATAAGTTCCGACGTCTTCAACAAATACCACACTAACGGAAAGCTTCGGCTCTCCACAGGTTATGTGCAGGAAGCACTGGAGAAGCAGGGATATCCCGGTCACGACGGTGTTGTTCAAATTCTGGTAAAATTTTCAATTAAGAGTTTCGTGTTAAATGATGTGCTATTTCAGAAAGGAAAGGAAGACATCGGAGAGCAAATGGGCCATGGATTCACATACAGAATCCGTATTTGTGATGGAATTTTCCAGTATAGTAAGTAAATAGAAAAGATTGAACTTTCTCATTGCTTATTTCCAGACACTCTCGTCAGTGCAGACATTGACGATCAGATCAAACGTGAAGCCGAGCATCTTGTTGAAGGAGCTATCATTGCTATTACGAATCTCTCTACTTTCAGTCAAGGGTGAGAACTAACTAGTGTAGGTTATTTTTATGAAAAGTTTACAGAGCTGGAATCAAAACATCTTTCTTGATCACGGGATACACTCTTCTTTCTCGCTATCATCAAACACTGAGTGCTCCAGAAGTTAAGCCAAGATCGCATTCTGGAAACCCGGCAGAACATCATGGATACAGACCAAACATTGTTGTCGAAGACGTCTGGCCGGAAGCAGAATCCATCACATCTGAGTTCCAGGAGAATATGTCTAACCCGCCTGCAGCGAAAATGCCAAAACGAGAGAGTGGCGGAGAAGCATCTCACAACCGTGTGCCAGCTCCTGAACCACATCGTAGCCGTGCTCCACCTCCACCAGCTCGCCGAGGTCCTTCCAACACTGAGCGTGGAGTGATCCCTATTGCAATGGTTACTCCTTACGTCAACAACTTCCGCATCCATGGAATGGTATCAAGAAAAGAGGATATCAAAAATATTCCGGCCAAGAACATGAAAATCTTCAACTTTGAAATAACTGATTCAAACGGCGACACCATCCGATGTACCGCATTCAACGAAACTGCTGAGTCTTTCCACAGCACAATTACGGAGAATCTTTCTTATTATCTTTCTGGAGGATCTGTTCGTCAGGCTAACAAAAAATTCAACAACACTGGACATGACTACGAAATTACACTCCGCAATGACTCTGTTGTAAGTTAATGCTCGTCTTGTCAGTAAACCAAAAAGTAAGCAACGTTCCAGGTTGAAGCCGGAGGCGAGTTGCTTGCTGCGCCGAAGTTGAATCTGAAGAGAGTTTCGTTGGCTGAGATCGCAGGACATTGTGGAGAAATGATCGATGTTCTTGTGATTGTTGAAAAGATGGATGCTGAAGCAACGGAGTTCACTTCGAAAGCCGGAAAAACTCTTACCAAGAGAGAGATGGAGCTTATCGATGAATCGCAAGCTTTGGTTCGATTGACTCTTTGGGGAGATGAAGCAATCAAAGCGAACGTTGACGATTATCACGGCAAAGTCATCGCTTTCAAGGGAGTCATACCGAGAGAGTTCAATGGCGGTTACTCTTTGGGTACTGGTTCTGGAACGCGCATTATTCCAGTCCCAGAAATCTCTGGAGTTTCTGAGCTTTACGATTGGTACACAACTGAGAAACCACATTCGGAACTGAAGTTGATCAGTCAAACCTCCGGAGGGATGTCTGAAGCTCCTCGCACTATTGCTGGTCTTCAAGAAATGCAGTTCGGAAAAGACTCGGATAAGGGAGACTACGCATCTGTGAAAGCTATGATTACTAGAATCAATCCAAACAGTGCCCTCTACAAAGGATGCGCTTCGGAGGGTTGCCAGAAGAAGGTTATCGAATCAGACGGTGAATACCGTTGCGAAAAGTGCAACAAGAGCATGAACAAATTCAAGTGGCTCTACATGATGCAATTCGAGCTTTCCGATGAGACTGGACAAGTCTATGTGACTGCTTTCGGAGATAGCGCTGCCAAGGTCGTTGGAAAAACTGCTCAGGAGGTCGGAGATCTGAAAGACGAGAACCTTAACGAGTATAATGCCACTTTCGAGCGTCTTCAGTTTGTTCCAAAGATGTGGCGTCTTCGCTGCAAAATGGAGACATACAATGTGAGTCAAGTATAAATCATCAAATATTTAATTATGTTTCTTTTTTCAGGAAGAAGTCCGTCAAAAAATGACCGTCTTCAGTGTCGAAGAGGTTAACCAAGACAAATACATTGAAAATCTCAAGGAACTCATTGAGCAAATGAAGGGAATCGAGGACGAAGGAAGCTACTAAACATTCTAAACTTTCGTATAATATCTCGATCTCTGATTTTCTTATTTTAACCTAAATGCTACTGTTATTCTATTTCGCGTCCATGGTTCTCACATTTTCATCATAAGCCTTGATTTTTTGTGCTATAGTATTTCTTCTTATTTACTTGCGAATAAACTAGCAGATTCGAGTTTTTGTGAGGCAAAGCTCATGTATTCTGAAGCAGTTTCGCAGTTTATAAAATATTTTCAGATTCTCCATCAAGACGAATTTCTCAGAAAATAGGACCCAAGAAAGCTCGACTCTTGAGCCTAAACTCATCTGAAAATTATGCAAACTGCTTGAAACCTCCAGTTGGCTAACAAACATAACTTTCGCATTTCCGAATTTCCATTTTTGAATCCCCCTCTGTCATGACAAATTTTGCCCCGAGTTCCAAATGTTATGTGATTACTTTGTTAGGTAACCTATGACACATTCCCTCTCTGCACAGGCCTGCTCTGAAGTGACAGCGTGAGGTCGTTGCCAGTGTCCTTGAGAACGGCGAGGTGACTGACCGAAAGAAATGGCCTTGGACTCGCACTTGCTATTTTTCCCCCTCTCTTTCTGTCCACCACCACAACGTCCACTCGTAACCTGCAGGTTCGCAGGCAGCCAGCAACCACCTCGAGCTCTCTTTGCCTCTTTCTCTGTCGTCGTTTGTGCATTATTTCTATAGGAGAGATTGGCGGATTACAGAGATTTCTTCTCTGCAGAGTTTTCCAAGTTTCTTTTTATCACCTGTTCCCAGCTGAAGTGTGAATAAAACTTCATTCATTATTTCCCGCCTCCACAACGTTCTTTGTTCTTTAACTTATTTTTCCCACATAGTTTCAGAAAGCTAAAATCTTGAAAAAGGTCATCTCTTCCAACATCCGTTATTTTTCCTTGAGCTTTACCTCTCGCCTCTTGCTCTCTGGCTCTTCAACTGGGAGGAATGCTACACTTGCTCATTATTTTGCATCTGCTTGGAATTTTTCACTCATAAAAAGAATGACACTTGACCTAGAAGATAGATTATCAAAACAGGACAATGTTCATATGCTCCTTTTAGTGGAGAACTCACATTCCTCCAATAACATTTGTCAATCAACTTTCTTTTTTTAAACAAGCACTTTAGGTGTAATAGTCACGGAGTGGGCTATGTTCTCTAAAGAAATTCAACCTATGTCTCATTTCCTTTTGACTTCAGAGCTCTCAATTCTAAAAATTTCGAGAAGTTTCGGAGTTTTCAAAACATTTAGAAGGACAAAACTGAAAAAGTACTGTAGTTTTAAAGGCGCATGACAAAAATTCTGCTTCGCATCTCGAGAGGAAACGAAAATACTGTACCTGTAACATTCCGAAACGGTTTTTTTTTTTCGAAATCTTAAAGAATTATTCACAAAATTTTGTGAAATTCTCTGAAATTCCGAATACTATTCACCCTTGCATTTCTCACTGTGCCAATCAAACAAAATCCATGCCTCCTTACCAGTTTCTATTGATTTTTAAATAACTTCGGAATTATGTTTAAACGGACCATTTTTTTTCCAGGTTGATACGCAGCAATATGTTGACTACAAATGGCCCACGGTCTAACAAAATCAGCAGAGATGTAAGTTTTTTTTTCTGTTTCCCCAGAGTGCTCATAGTAAACGTTCCAGATAAGTAACTTCATAGTCACAGAAGTGTTGCAACGAAGTGATGATCTCATCAAGAATTCGTATAGGCGGTTGACAACGGAAAACGTGGCCAGAAATGAGCATTGGTCTCGAATAGCTGAAAATGTGATGGAGAAATTCGATGTTCCCACTGAAATGGAGCGAGTGAAGTCCCATTTCCACAATAGGAAGAAAGTATTACTGGCAAGAGTTAAAGACGAGCTGAAGTAAGTACAGAATCATAAGATTAATGTAAACTCCAACTTTTCAGGTTAATTCCAAATTCGAATCTGATGACTACAGACCAAAAAGTAGACGAACTGATTCTAAGAAGAGTTGTTGTTGGAAAATATGATGAACAGCTTGCCAAAGTTTGTCTGGATATTGAAGAAGAGGAAAAGTTAAGAACTGAGCAATTTGGAAACGATCATATGATGCAGCCGATGGTGAACTTGTTCACTGAAACTAGCCACCAGTCGTTGCTGTAAGTTTTTTTAAACACAAAATGAGAGTTAGGATTATTGTTTCAGGTCTCAATTGCTCAGTACGTCGAGTTCTTATTCAGCAGTAGAGAGATCAAGTTCAACCTCTTCTCCACGGGAATCATCGTCAAGTAAGGATATGGATGTTCCTGCTTCAGTGCCTGCTCCGGTTTCTACAAGATCGCCGCTTCTTTCCAAACTATTGTCCGATCCTTCAACATCTAAAGAAAATGGGCACTCACAGGGCCAAATATCACATAATAGAAAAACAATAAGACTACCGATGGAGATGAAGGCTCCACAAACACGGTATACGGATCACACATATCCTGCCGAAGCTCCGAAGATCAATCAATATTCAGCCCTACCAAGCCCTGCCGAGCAATACTTGTCACATGTTATTGTGGACATATCGTCTCCCGATGAGCTTAAAAAGCTTCTTTCTGTTTTGGTGAGTGTTTTTTATTTACTGGAAAACCTGAAATAGGGAATGATCTGTGGTATTGTACAACATCTGAAAAGGAGAACTATATCCTGGAGAAAAACTTAAAAGTTGGAGAAACGAGTTTAGCAAGATGGAAAATGCTCAATCTGATAGTCCTATAGGCAACTTTTCATATTCTGTTTCGAAAAGTAAACTTTTATATTTGAATTGCCAGTTTCTAAATTAGAAAATAGGAATCTCAATGAGCTTATCTGTAAAAGTAGCAAAAGGGAGCAAGATAGAAAATGAGCGGAAAATTTGACATAAGACAGAATTAAAAAAAGGTAGACTGTAAAATTTTAGTAGCAGTGACAGAATGGTTGTACCACTTCTATATTTGCCTCATAGCATGCAGGCTACCTGTTCCTAGCCATGTTCAATCAAACAATTCGCATCTGACGTTCGTCATTCCCATCGTTTTTCGGTAGTCATTTATGTGAAGATTTTTCTCAAGTCACCCCCCCCCCCCTATCGCACTCACAAGCATAGAAAATACTGGTTGTTTGAGAGATTCCGACGTGAGTGAAGGCAGAGGAAATAGTGAGCGAAGAGACACTGAAGGAGCGGCGGGGCCTAGTGATGCGCGAGCGTGTGCGCGTAGCGGGTGTGTTATTTCTGGTCTTCTGTGAGTTTTTTACTGTAACTAATTATAGTCGACTCAAAAACGCTTGAAAAGATAATCCAAGCAATCCAAATAGGCGGAGATATGCTCAAAACTAAATTCCACATTGTTTTTTTATATTCCAAGTACTTTCAGATTGATAATGGATTCTCGCAATTCCACCATGTCACAAACTCGGATATGGCTTCTACCTCAATTGGAACCGGTAAGAGAAGTCTCTCCATACTTTACTTTATCAGAAAAACTGAATGTGTATAGTTAAAACCAAAATCAGGCATTTAACCGAGTCTTGAGTCGGAAAAGAGTTAAACCTTGTACTTCAATAGAGCGCAGGTGCAATGCAGCCTGTTGCAAACACACAGAATTAAAGAAATTCATTGGACCAAAAATGGAGCAGAAAAGATAGTTTAAATTTTTGCAGGAATCAACCGTGCTCTCAGTCTGAGACCTCAAGTAAAGAGAAGCCAAAATAATATTCCAAGTGAACACATTATTGAAAAGCAGGAAAACACCATCTGGCCAGTGCAGGTTACCCATCATGAACAACGTTCCTGTACACCTGATACGAGCATCATGCGTTCAATCAAAAGCAGGTTCGCCAACTGTTGTATAACTACAGTAATCCAATTTCATATTTTAGAGTGGAACGCGTTGATGTAGAGATTAAAGCAGAACCCATCACTGAGTACGAGGACGATGAATGTGGCGAAGATGACGTTGATGAACAAACTGCACAACTGGAAGCACAATTAGCATCAGAGGCATTGAAAACAGGTCTAGCTCTGCTCGACAAGGGTCCGCCTTCAAAGAAAATGAGAACGTCTTCGTTTTCTGAGAACGGAACTTCGGATATTGTAACAGCGAATTGTGAAATGTGTGCATCAGTTATCCGTTTGAACTCTGGACAATCTAAATGGAATCTTTATGAGCACGTCATGATGAAGCACTCAATCCACAAACCTTTTAAGTGTCCACTTTGTCCATACCAAGCTGGACGGAAACTTCGTGTAAAACAACATTCGCTATCGCAACATTACACAGAAACCGAACCAATTGATATGATGTAAAGCTTTGATACTTGATTAGTAAAAATTATTTCTGCATTTCAGAACACCAGAAGTCCGAAGTGAATGGCTGAAAACAATGTCAAGGTGCTTTCCTGCTCATCAGTATCAACGAATTAGTCATACTTGAAACTTCCGTTCTCAATTTTTCAAATTTGGAATCAAATTCATAAATATGGTCGCGATGTTTTCAATTTAAATAGTATTTTAATAATTAATAAACCTATAAAAATGTATTTGAGAACCTCTTTTTTTTTGTCCTCAATTTCGTAAAAATAGTCCAGACTATTGAAACATATCTATCGTTATTATCTCTGAAATAGCTTTACAATCAATGATGTTTGAAGGTGTCGTTGCCTTATGAACTAACCCCGGCCGGGATGCCGAAATTCGTCGTCATCGAGCTGAACGATGAAGCAGCAACCATCGATCTGCTGAGCTATTGCGTGAGTTTTTTAATGTTAACAATTTCTGTTGATATTCTGGTACACAAAAATTGGAGCTGTGGGAGAGAAAAGCCGGTGGGCGTTGCCAGAGGTCCCACAACGATAACTACCGTAATCTGAAAATGGTTTTATTTTTTTGTTTTTCACAGGTTTTCGTCGAATTTCCTATTATTTTTCCCAAGCAAGTCTGAAAGTTATATTTTTTATGTTGAAAAAATTGAAATACAAGAGTACAGAAATTGAGATAATAATATACGGAAAAAAATCTATTTTAAGGTTACGGTAGTTGTCGTGGTGGGACCTCCGGGCCCGCCCATCGGCGTTTCTCTGCCACATGTGGCAGCTCTGATTTCTTTGTACCAGCATTGTCCTTATACTTCTCTTTACGAATTCTTACTCCTTACTTCTCCTAAATTCTTAAATTTTGAGAATACCTCCATCTATTTCGTTCATCAAACTCATTCCTGATCCTTATTTTTGTCATCGGTGACTTTTCTCTGCTGAAGCATATAATCTTCGGCTCAACTCCCTTGAATCCCACACAGTTCTCTTCAATTCAAGCGCTCTATCATGTTTAGCTCTTCATTTCACACGATGCACAATTCAAATCCTATATACAGTACACATTTCATACATTTACATTTTTTCTCCTGCTTCTCCTCTCGTCCCCTGATCGGTGGAATCAACGACGTGGCGCTCGCATAAATGTGCAAAGGGAAGAGAAGAGAGAGCTGCAACACAGCCCCTCCACCTCCAAACCATTCCCTCTGCTTTCCGCGTCCCCGTTTTTCATTTTTGCAGTGTTCCTTTCCCATTTATATACGAGCAGCACCGCCGTGCTAGTTTCATCGACGACAACCCGGCGGCGAGATAGTACATCTCGAGAGGAGGAGGAATTCGTATACTTCTGTACACGGAGCCACCATTCTCTATCACTTGATTTCTTCTTCTTCTCACTTCGTCCTCCGTTATTTTCACTGTTTTATTCGAAACGATGTGATTTCATATTTCATAGATGGCTCATCTATCTCAAAATTGATATATTTCGATCCGATCAAGTAAGAAGATTCAAAACAATGGATTACTGTAGACGAATCACTGTTAATTAGTTATCAGCAACGATATTAATCTAGTACAAAAAATCGGAGCTGTGGAAGAGAAACGTCGGTGGCCGTGCCCGAAGGTCCTACAACTACCGTAACCTAAAAATAGTTTTTCCCCAAAATTAATTTTCTTGATTTTGTTGGAGAATAACCGAAAATTCGACGAAAATCAGTGAAAAACGAGAAAGTAAATCCTAGAAATTAAAATATTTTTAGGCTACGTTATTTGTGGCTATGGGACCTTCGGCCACGACTACCGGAGTTTCTCCTCCACATCTCATATTTCAGAACCAGAGTAATATGTTTTCTGTATAACAATAATGATGAGGTAAGACAGTGATACACTCATTCCTCTCCTATTTTTTTCGACTATCAATTCTGCCGACGTTCTAGCACCCAATCTAGCTCATAATAGAGAAACGCGTCGCCTCACATCGCCATCCGAAGTATACATGCTTCGTTTTCGTTGTCACCATCGTCATCATAATGCCCACCGCTCTCATCCTTTTCTTTTTCTCTTATACACCGGGTAGGTGCTGTATGCACAATGCACACAACTGACAAAACTGTACTCGTTCGTTGTCGTCGTGGCTGTCTCGCCACCTCCGCCGAGAGGAGCGCAACCAACAACAACTATCAGCGCGGGTTTCCCCGCATTTCGTTCCTTCTAAGCATCCTTTTCAGTTTTCGATGGGAAGATGGACGATATCATAAAACCGCGGCGGCACAATGCTTGAATGTGTGTGCGTGACCGAATGCAAATATTGCCGATGGAGCAAGAAAAGGGGAAGAAAAGGAGACGAGCACATCGTCACATAAAATATCGTATCACCTTTTCTCTACTTTTGTGCATCTGTCTTTTTCTAACTTTTCCCGCTTTTTTCTTCATCCTCCTCCTCTTCACTTCACCCATTAAAATAATCCTCATTCTGAGTCCTCTTAGCTTCCACTCTTCAGTCCGACGCACTTATATACTAAAACGTATGATTTTTCTCTTCTTTCTACCTCTTACAAGCCCCTTGACTTCAATTTTGTCGCACGATGAATCCACCGTAAACACTGTAATGAGGTCAAACTCTGTCTCTGAATAGTCTAAAAGATCTAGAATGTTGCCAGCGGATTCTGGTACAAAAAATCGGAGCCGTGGAAGAGAAGCGCCTGTGGCTGTGGCAAGTGGAGGTCCCAAAACGATTACTACCGTAAGCTACAAATAATCTACAAGTAACCTATAAATGTTTGATTGTAAAAAACGAGAAAATAAATCATCAAAAGACATTTATTTTTGGGTTACGGTAGCTGTCGATGTGGGACCTTCTTCCAATTTTCTCTTACAGCGCTCCCATGTTTCTCTTTCAGCGCTTCCATGTTTCATAAAAACCAGTATAAAATTCAGAATCTCGATGCTATTAGAAAGTATGCTGGTCTGGTTGCCAGACTCTGGAATCCGATACAGTAACCCATCATTTTTCGCCCCTTTCCCACAACTTTCAACTCCAGACATTTCTATTTCTGAATCGTTCTCTCAGATCTAGTTGGAGTATCCTTTTCTACTGTGCGATGCGACGATGAGTTTATAGCATTATGGGATCTCGTTCGCGCACACAGTGCGCATTAGTCGTCTCCGAGATCTTTCTCACTACTCCCCCGTAGCGCATATTATTCCGAATCCATGGACTTTCTCTTTCAACAAGTCGTAGAAGAAGTGAGCGAGCGCGAATGCATATCTCCGTAAAGTCATTCGTGTTTTCGAGGCCGCAAAGACGGACACCAGCACTTTCTGCTCGCGATGACCTACATTTTGTAGAGTGACGGTTGAGTAGAAGAAAACGGTGATGAAGAGGGAAAGGTGGTGTAGCGATTTCTCCGGTCTTTAAATCGGCCCCGATTGGAGCCAATTCGGTTTTGTCACCCACCGTGTCATCTCGCGCATTCTTCTCTAAGTCGGATTCGTTCTACCAACGTGATTCACCCGCGTCCAACCATTATTGCACACAATAGAATCGACGACAAATCGACAGAGGCGCTGTCGACGACGAAGTGATGAGCGCATGCGAGACGAGGGCACCACTCAAACTGGTTTTTTCGCAGAGTTACAACCACATCAGGCATCATAGAGCGAGACCGTCTCCTCGTTTTCATTGTCAGAGCCATTTTGGAAAGGCTCGTTAAACAGCGTGCATCGAAAAAGAGAAAGAGAGAAACCTTTGAAATGAAACGGTGATGGTTTCTGTCGACGAGTGCCTCTGAATTATGATGAAGGCCTAAACTCTATGAGATAACATATTTGAAAATGTTTGGTTACTGTAGAAGTCTAGAACCATCCATGATGCTCGTTTTTCCATTTTTAAAATCAAATACAGAGAAAGAAGACTTGAAAACAAAACATATTCCTTTCCCAACACCTAATCACTTCTCGATGACTCAGCAAGTACTTCGCCAAACGTTCCAGATGACCCTCCAATTATCTTCTGTTTCAACTTTCCCATCAGAAGAAAAGTCCCCGAAATTCAAAGGATATATGTCCCCCTCTCTCTCTCTCTCTCTCTCTCTCTCTCCTCTCTCTTTCGATCATAGCTCATGTTGCAGAACATTTTCAAGGACACTTTCTACTCCTTCTTTTATAAACATCTGGTGTCTGGATCAAACTCAACAATCTTGACGAACTTTTGATCTCATTCTCAGAGTGATTGAGCTACCGTACCCTTCGATCCCGCACCACCAACACATTGTAATCCGGTCGTCCTTGCGTCTATTCCATTTATCTCTCCCACGTTTAAAATGGGAGCAACGTCGTCGTCGTCGACGAAATGCGCGATTTGGGTGCGACGGGCGATAAAACTCATGACCGGTAGTCAGTGGCGTTTACGAGAGAGAAGAGACCAAAACTGTGTTTTTCACTTCTCGCGTTCCCGTGTCTCTTCTAATCTCTCTTCTTCTTCTACGACTCGAATTCCGAAACTCGTCGTGCTGCTGCTGCTTCCGACAATGTCTCCTCTGGCTGCACCGTATCTTTTCAATTACGTCAACTTCACACAGAAACGTACTATTTCTCATTCCGTAAGCGCGCAGTTTGAAGACGATGCGCACAGTGGACAGTAGTCGTCGTCGAAAAATAAAAGTAGATGAGCCAGTTTTGTCTTCCACACACTTATTCTTCTTTTTTTTCTTCTGGTATTCTTCAATACGTCGACGCGCACAACACATACACATCCTCGTCTTCTTCTTCTATCTTCTTTTTCGACAAATCTCAAAACGCTTCCCCGGGACGCCTGGCTCCTGTCTGCGTCTCAGTGATCGCCTACAGTGCACTACTGAAGCAGTGCTGAAGAAAACACCGTGTATCCTGGCATGACGCTAGTAATAACAACCTGACTGCACACAAACGATGCGCACGATTCCGATAGAATTACGGCGTGGGATGATGTGCAAGGCCGGTTCTACAAGAAGGGCCAATTATTGATCCGGATTCATCATCTTGTTTTTGAGTTTCATTGATTCCAACGGCATCACGAAAAATGGAAATTTCAAACGCTGAAATTGCTCATCATCTGAATTCATAGAAAACTTAAAAACAAATGTAGTCGTAGCATTCATAGCTATGCATAGCAACAAGGCCTTATCAAGATGGAAAGCGCAACAAAGATTTGCGGATAAGAGTTGATGTTTTTAGGACCATCTACTAGGGCTCGAGTTCCCCTTGGAGTGTATTCTTCTACAGTAATCCTAGTTGGTAATACGGTATAATTGAGCCGTTCGCGACCTTGTGTAATTACTCTATGAAAAGAGCCATATCCGGTTTAGATGAAAGAGACGAGCCTTCTCCTTCATCTTCATTTTCGGAATTTCCCCCGCTCTCTTCTGTGACGACTCCAATTTGTCATCATAATACAGACGACTGTCGCGTACGTCTCTCTTCAACTGTCTCTAAATGTATGTCGGTCTCACAATTGTAGTCGTCGGTCCCCTACCCGCGCTCGCGCACTGACGCCGTCGTGCCGACACACACAACGTACCTCATCCCTAACCATCAATTTCGGTTCGGGGCGGTTGTTTTGATACACATTCTCATTGTCAGAGCAGCTCGAGTGACCTTCATCTCACTTCAATTACTATTCATAGTCCCCGCATCCCAAAGTGCTCATTTTACAATGTGGCAATCAAGGTGAAGTTAGCACAGTGTCCCCTCTGTCGGGATTTATAAGAGGATTTGAGCAAAGAATGCCCCAACCGATTCTACGATCGGCAATTACTCAATAGTGTCCTTGAGCAGCCATTTATGGTGACGGATCTCTTCACATCAGCCACACCTTCCCAATCTTCATGCCTCTACCCTCACAGAAGGCTCATCGGAGATTACCATCGAATATCGTCTGCATACATACCTGTTTTCCTGGCACCAGGTGCGCCTTCACCCCTAGACTTTACGGAGCATTTATGTAGAATCGTCCTCTTAAAACGACGATGAATAAGTGTGAATGTCGACAGAGCCGAAAATGTGGGTCTCTACATGCAGTTTTGTTGTTGTCGTTGCGCATGAGCGGCCTTCTTCTCCGATTCAAGGACAATTTGGGTGGGAAGAACACAGGTACTAGAATGTGAAAGATGAGCAAAGAGTTTTGAATCTAAATGAAGGAAGAAGGGTTGCGCGCGACCGTAGTTGTGACCTATTTGCGATAGGTTGGCGGAGAAAGAACTAGGAACAGAAGGAATTCAAATCCAAAAGGGATGAGCTCGGCGGAATTCCCAAAAGGTAGGATTAGACTGTCAGTGTGGATGGATAAAATAATGATCCATTGACGTCGTAAACTGCGTAATACCTGACAATAAATGGCTGGGCATTAGCGAGTTCCAGAAGGCCGCCCCACACGGCCATTACCACTTGAGCACAGATGAGAACTATGTGGGATTAGCCCCCTAGCACTGTCACAAGACTAGACCCGTTTCCCTCCCTTGTTATTCTTCTATCCATCATTGCAACTTTTCTATCTTTGTGCGCGCAGGCGCATCAGATGATCGTCTTATTTCCCTTTTCTGCTTCTTCCATTCCATGCAGCGCACACAAAACAGAAGCACTCTCATCCTCAAACCGGCTTCCTACAGTCGTCTCAGAGCGCCCATCTCTCCGGGCCCATCGCTCCTTCTTTTCGCTCGTGTCCTTATTACACTCTGACGGCGCTCACAGTTCTTCTCATTTTTTCTCTTTCTCTTCTTCTTCTTCTACCACTCTTTCATAGGTGAAAAGGAGAAGACGTTGCCAATTTGAATGCGCGACTTCTTGTGTGAGCGCGCTCTGTGACGGAGACGGAAGGAGAAGTTGGCCTAAATTGCTTGCCATAACAATTTCGGGCCGTTGTCGTCGTCGCCGACATGCAGTAGCAACGAGGCCATTTGCTTTTTGCTTATCACGAAGTGAAGCAAGAACCGGTTGGCACTCGTCTGAGACACCACCACCATCAAGTGCTTGCTCGTCTTCTATTCACGACAGTCAACGTCTTCTTTTTCTTCTTTCTTCTTCCTGCCACTTATGTAGTACATTATATTGGTTCTACTTGAAACTTACTTTTTCAACTTTCAATTTCTAGTATTCAGGTCACTATGAAACTCTTATCTTTTCTCAGCATTCCCATCTCTCCAGATCTAATGACCCTTCTCGGAGCAATTGCGGTTATATCTTGGATGCAGATCTGTTCAGTATACGCTACCTGAGTTGGATCAATGTCCTTGACTGGGGCTATTCAAATACTATACGAGCCGATCAATTTTGCTCTCTGCTTCTCCTGTCAGTTCAGCGTACCCCTATATAGGGGCCTATGTTTCTGAAACTGTAAAGGGTTCTTATTGTCCACATCATCCTCCTCTTCCTTTATTGAGCGAAGAATCGTTTCCTCCCTCTCTAAAACTCGTTGTGTGGAGGTGACAGGCTCCTGATGAAAAACGAAGGAACCGCCCAACTTCTTCTCTCGGGCGCCAGCCATCTCGCACACTATTTCTGTGCCCCCAGTCTACGATGCGGACGTACAGAAGAAGAGCCGAAAACGAGTTTTGTTTCTCTTAGATGGACGCGGTTGAAGAGTGGGGGCAGCAGTAGGGAGGCAACACAGTCTGTGTCGGAAGACGAAGAAGACGTTTCTCATTCCTTGACGTGAGTCGCTCTCTCGATTCATCACAATCTCTGGCGTCCTTCAGTGGCGTGCGATCGTGGCGTAAACAGCAATAACGCCGCGCTCGGGGAGACAGCGGGATACTGTAGAAAGAGAGTGCTCGGCGAGTAGTACGCAGAGAACCTTGATTGGGTAATTTATCGAATGATAACAGCACCCGTCAGTTTTCGAGAAAGAGGAAGACTGAACCTTCCGTGATTTGTCTTCTTCTTCATTTTCTTGTTGATAGGTTTCGAACGCAGAAAAAGAAACATAAAGATATTTACTGATCAGTTTCATTTCTTCTTTTTTTCAAAATGAGTACATCATTTCCTATCATGAATTCAGGTTCCTTCTTACCTTCAATAAATGCAAATTGCTATATCCTTTCATCGCTCTCTTCTCCGTCGTCAATTTGTCGTCCGTTTCTGGGTCACCGGAGCGGCGGCGGCGGCTGTCCCTGATAATTGATATGTGCGCAGTTCATGACACTCTTATGAAGGTCTTGACGAGCTCGCCATTTCTTGATTCAAGTCAGCATACCGTGAACGGCATCGGAAATATTCTGTGCTATAGCTCCGCCTCTCTTATAAATGGGGGTTTTTTTACTTTATTTGAACGAACGCCACGCCCACTTCTTAATCAACATCACTCTATGTTCACTCGTCTTCTATTCCACCCATTATTCTTGTGCGATGGTCTCCTTCGTGACCCTGTCAGAGATCTAAATCTCGGAGCTCGCTGAGTCGACTGATGATTGCTACCGATTTATTCATCGTCTTCTTTCTTGGCGACCTTGATGCGCAACATTCTTTTCTTCTTCTTCCTCCTCCTCAGTGACTCACAAGGTACATCGTTCAAATCTTGCTCTTCACTTGTTTCCCAAACTCTGGTAATCGGTTTCTAACCAGTTTCGGGAAATTTTCCATCCAGATCCGGTAACGCGCATTTGCCAACCAGATTCGAGTAAAATTCCAACCAGATTCGGAAACTTTTTATTTTCCGACCAGATCTGGTGATTTTCTGACCAGATCCAACCGAAAAAGCTAATTTTCCAACCTGATTCGGACAATTTTCTAACCAGATCTATCCATTTCTGCTCCGGAATTTTCCTGAATCTGGTTGGAAACCGATTACCAGAGAACTCATGATTCATGATTATCGTTTGAATTTTTATTTTAATTTTCCTGTTTCAGTCCTTCCGGAACTGAATATGTCCTAGTATTATGAGTCATGCATCAATGTATTGTTTATTCAAAATGCTCCTGCTTAGAATTTTGCTCATTTCGTAACATGGTCAAAACTTTCTTTTGTTATGGTAATGAGCAATTTCCCAATTCCTCCCTCTTCTCCCGTCTCTTCTTCTCACCTACCTTGATCCTCTACAGCTCTGGCCTCTGGCTCCGCCCCCTTCGCTCCTCCCCTCGGCGCGCTCGCGCACACATCCCCGCATTCAGGGCCTTTTCTCCCTCGTGAGAGACTTGTCTCGTGGCATTTACTTCTCATATGCTCCTTGTTTATATTATTCCAACTGAATTTTTTTCAGGTCAAAAAAAACTACGAGCGAGTCTCATTGCTCACTCGGCTTGAAGATCATCCTTATCTTCGTGATGATTCAGAAGTCGTTCAAGATGACCAACATCAACCTGAAGCAGATGGAATGCTCCTTCAGCTCAACGATGAAGAACGTCAACGGCTCATGAAACTGATTAGCACGCCTGGCCCACAGACTTTGGCTATGGAACGGATTCATATGGATGGACAGACTCAACACATTCTTCAACAACATCAACTACCATCAACTTCTGGCTACTCTAATGTAAGTATTTCAGTGCTTTTTTTAAGCATTTCAATCTTAAAAATATATTTTAAAATTCGTTTTCAGAACTTCTCCATCTACATCAAAAACGACGTACAAGACGCCACATACAAGGACGAACCCCAACAACAGACCAATCAATTCGACGACACTGTGAATTCGGTTGCTCATGGACACGCTAGTTTATCAACACTGGAAATGTTTGCCTGCAATGGGTCACCAAGTGTAGAGCCACTTCGAAGGAAAACGCCGTCAAGGAAAGCTGAAGATTCTATAAAAGCGACCTGTAAAGTTTGCGGACACGAGGTGATGTACTCTCCCCAAAGAACATGGAATCTTATGCGACACGTCTGGATAATGCATCAATCTTCTAAACCTAACCAATGCTCGGTTTGTGGTTACTCGCACATCAAGCCATACGTGAGGAAACACATTGATTCTCAACATAAACATGATGCAACAGCAAGTATATTAGATTTAAAGTAGGTCATAGTTAGATGTTATCAGTTTTTAAAGATTTGAGTTACAGATCACCTGAGTTGGAAGCTGAATGGAGTCAACTGTTAGATCAATGCTTTGGAGTCACATATAGAAAATGGAAACACCATAAAGAGGATCCACAACATCCTGGTGAGTCTTCAATGAGTTTTGAGAGCATTGTCGAGTTCAGTATCTAACTCCCAGTGTAGTATTTACAGCGGGAGATGAGGACTACAGTAACGAGCATCACTTTTCTCCAGAAGACGATGTCATGCAACCTCTATAATATTCATATTGTTTCCGCTTTCCCATTTTATCAATATATCTTGGTTTTGGTCATTTTCATATTTTACTATTAACACACACTGCCGTGTGCAAATTTAATTAGTTTTTATTAACTTTGCAACCCGAATAAATGATATCAGATTTCACTTTTGTTAACTGTTTTTTTAATCTTAACGAGTTACTTTTACTCTGGAATATCTTTTTTTCGTTGTCTATTTTACTTTTCTTCTTTTTCTTCTCCTTTTTTACTCATATCTTCTTTTCCAGATGCTCTCTAAATTTGTTGTAGTTGAAGTGAGCAATACCAACAACACAATGACACTTGTCGAATACTTGGTAAGAAAATGAAAATTAACTTTGAAAAATGTCTTTCATTTCCAGGTAACACATGGTTTCGACAAGTTCGCAGTGGTAACCGATTTGATGGATCACCCCTCATTCAAATTCAAAGACGGATCTTCAAGTCCTGAATCTCCTTCCACAACTGTATCCACTGCGGCCCAACACACTCCACCACGAACGGCGGTGTCAACGCCAACATCGATGTCTACTCCAGTTCCACCACAGAATAACAAACCACGTGCATCGATCGAATCCATTGCAAAAGCTTTATCGACAAAGAAGGCATCTCCTCCAGCGTTGGAGAAGCAAAAACCACATCAGATGCCACCGTTCAACATGTTCCCACATCTTGCCAACCCACATGCAATGTCACAACTTCAGAAGTTGCTTGAGGAGCAACACAAAGCTTCGATTCAGAAGAAAGAACAAGAGAGACAGCAAGCTGAGATTCATCGGATCATTCTTCAACATGCATCGCAGCTCAATCAATCGTTTGGAATGGAGAGGTTAACGCCAGAATACGAAGACAATCAACATAGTGAGACGATTTCGAAAGCGAGTTCCGAAGACTTGAAGGCTGAACCAGATTCATCCGATTTCGGACTTGGAACCAGTGATGAGCAAATCCGTGCTTCAATGTTGCATCTTCTGAACCCAGGAATTTCATTTGGAGGAATCGATTCGGAGAACTATTTCGGAACTGCTTCAACCCCATCGACGCCCGGAACCAAGAGAAAAAATGGAGAGCCAGGAAGTGTGCCATCAAAGAAACATCGTTGGCTCCCAGTCAATGAGCTAGAAGAAAGCAGATCGTCGCGTGGAAAAAACTGTGGAAGAGTTCATTGCAAAGCCACTTATAAGTGTGCTCTCTGTGGAAAGCCAACTACTCTCAACTCGACAGGATCCCGATGGAACCTTCTTCGTCACGTTATTATGATCCATTCGGATGCTAAGCCATACAAGGTAAGTACTGTCTCTTTGTAAAATGCATGCTTGTGATGTTGTGTATCCTAACCGGTTGTTCTTTTTCAACCCCTTCTTGTAATTATGTGTTTGCGTGTGTGCAGTTTGTAGTTGTGTTCCTTTTTCAGTGCTGGGACTGCGACTTCACCGGAATAAAGTCGAACGTCATTTCCCATGCCAGACAATGCCGTCATCGCGCAGACGACGCCAACGATATTACGTAAGTTTAAAGCTACCCCGAGAAGGTCGTGATGATGTAGTACAGCTGAGTAGTGTGAAGTGTGAAACTCTTCTATTGTATCAGAACTGCGTTTGTTTGATGCATGGAGTGTGTGATACATTCCTTCTTTTTTCTACTTCCCTATTCCCATTCCCCACCCGATTTCTTCCCCAAATTCCTTCTCTTTCCAATCACCTAGTTTTTAGAACCGACGAAATGCGTGCCGAATGGAATCTACGCCTCCACGAATGCTTCCCAGACTATGTGCGTGCTAAAGAGCGTGGATGGCAACCAGAGGAGTCTCTTGAGAAAAAGGCAGAGGAGGAGGCCGCTCCGACTCTTGTCAAATCCGAGACGGTCGAGGAATTGATGGAGCCTATCATCAAGCTCGAAGCTCCAATTTCTCTTTCCTAGAAATTTGTTTTTTCCGGATGTCCTAAAACTGAATAAACTGCGTATTCCTTTCATTCCCCGAGATTCATAATATCATTCCAATAATCTCCCCTTGCCTCACTTTGACTTTGCATTCCTTGTTATTTAATATCTGTGATCGAGTGAAGTGCTCTTCTTCCTCCTCCTTTTTCCATCCGCAGGTCCGGTTCATACTCTTCATTTTCCTCCCAAAAATTGCCTTTACTTTTCTCTGTTACACACTGTGCCTTCTTTTTTATTGTACATCTCTCTTTTTTCCAGCCTTTCCTGTCATCCTTACTCTTTTTCAATTTTCTCGACGGGTACCCTTGATGTGTGTGTTAAGCATTTAAGCGCTTCCCCCATCAGAAACTCGAGATTTTCAGTACATTTGATTAACAACAGGAGCTAGTGATCATTACGCATAATTCATTTCTATTCTTGCATAAATTGTCAACAGTTTTATCATACGGATAATCTTACAAACCCTTTATTTCATAAGTCTCTTGTTATAAAAATAAAATTTTGCGCATACTTAACATGATGTGATCTAAGAACAATGTAAAAATCGTTATAATGAAGTTTTCGAACACAATTCGGGCCGGGCAAAATGAAGAATAAGACAAAAAGTTAAAGGATCAAAGCTCGGATGTCCGAAGATATGGTTTTGAGCAAAAATGAGGATATTCTTAAATCTAGGTCTTCTCTTGTGTAGTTGCCGTAAATACTCTCATAGAGTGTCCCTCAAATCGTCAACTTTGAGCCCAAATATCACAATCCCTGTACAAGATATTGAAAGGGGTTTATCTGACTAAATATTTGTGATATTGTGATAAACATTTTATCAGTTGACCATTTTTTGATAGCTTTTACAGGAACCGAGATATATAGACTCCAAGTTGCGTGGCACTCTATTCGGGCAAATACTCATTAGCTTGATGATCTTTTGCTAAATGCTCACTTGCTAAATATGCTCTAAAAAAATATGCTAAACTTTTTTTTTGTTTTTTGCTAAACTAAACATTTGCTAAAATAGTCTCAATTGCTAAATTTCATTCGCTAAATTTTGATCATTTGCTAAAAATGAAAAAGTGGAAATTTTGCCGTTATTTGCTAACTTCAGTACTTTCTGACTGAATTTTTTACAGAATATTCCTGTTTTTGCTTTAAATTTTAAGCTTACTAGTTAGGCTTAAACACCTGTTTTCCGGTAAGGAGTTTCAGCCTAAGCCTTCAATTTGAACAAATCCTCTATTTAGCAAATGATCAAAATTTAGTAAATGAAATTTAGCAAGTGAGACTATTTTAGCAAATGAGCGAGTTTAGCAAATGAGCATATTTAGCAAGAGAGCATTTAGCAAAATATCATCAAGCTAATGAGTATTTGCCCTCTATTCGTGTTTACGGTATTTAGCGCATTCCTACGGTATCTCTTTTTATCACAGTATAAACTTCTTCACGTGACCTCTGAAGTTGCTCAGCTGGAGTTTTAGTAGAACACCAGCTACAGTAACCCGCACATCTGCCACCTCAATTATGTTAAATGATCAAATATCAATGAGAAATAATTATTGACTATGAAACTAATTGTACTTCTGGCATTCGGAATCTTCACTATTTTCAGCTTTATAGGATATAATGTCAACAATCACCAAAATCAAAATAGAATTAGTAAGTAAATATTACCGGGTCTAGTTTCAATGTGCGTTGGTTCCGAAAATTCGAAAGTGGGCGGAGCTAAGGTCTGTTAGCGAAATCCTCAATGGCGCATTTTTTACATATGGGTTCGTAATTATTTTCTGTTCTTTTTTTATTTTTCTATAATTTAGGTCGATTTTGAACATTTTAAAACAAAAATCCGAAAAATTGCAAAAAATGCATAAAAACAACCACGGTGAGTTTTTCACTACCGCTGCAGCGCGCTGCTTTCAACTTTGGAATTTTTTTTCTCGAATTCTAGCCCAAGGATTTTTTTTTCGTTCCATAAATTTTTTGTAAATTTCATGAAGAATATATAGTAAAAAAATGAATCAGATTTTTTTTGTCCATTGTACTTTAAAACGTCGCAGACTGTTTCGCATTTCGGTAGTGAAAAACTCACCGTGAACAACGGAAGTTATTGAAAATTGAGCAACCAACAATTACGAAAATACATGTTCCTTTAAATGAACCTTTAAAGATTTCGCTGCGGGACCTAAGCTCCGCCCACTCTCGAATTTTCGGCCGCTGTTAATTAGGCCAGAATACTATTTAAAGGACTCTTTTTCGAAATTCGTTTTCCAGGTAAAAAGTCCTCTGTGAAGCGAGACACAAATCATACATTTGATTTCAATTCAAGAAAAGTTTTACAATTGAAACCCTTAAGAAGATTTCCATCTGGAAAGAATAATAAAAAGTTTGTGGTTGATTGGAAAAGATTTGAGACACTTCAAAATTTTGTTCGTCGAAGGTTAGAAATGTGCTTCAAGTGAATATCATGATGAGCGTGTAAATTACAGTGGACAAATCATTGGACAACTTGAATTTAAAAACTACGATATCCTCGAAAAAACTACAGATATGTGGCATCATCGATTGGTGAAAGCAGGTCATTTCGAAGTTCGAAAAGAATATTTTGATTTTTCAAGTAACGCATTTTAAGAATGAGCTTTTTAATTAAATAATAACTTTAATCAGAAAAGAACAAAGAACCCAGGTTGACGGATTTAAAAGAATCCTGGATCTTTTGGATAACTGGCTCATAAATAAGTTCAGATTGGACTGGATTCAAAACGTTGGGATCAATGAATTAGGTGCCTATTTCCAAATACGCTTAGTCAGTTAAAATGAATTTATTTCAGATTACAAAAGTGGTTGTTTGGTAATTGAAGACACTGATCCAAATGCTGTTTTTCATTTTCATGGTCTCCGTCAACTCCATTACAACAGAGAAAACTTCGAACGATCTACTCCTTTTGTTATCAACTCCACAAACATGGGATGTCTCGATGTTGACAAGAAAATAGAATTATTCGAGAAATTCGGAATAGTTGCACTTCAAATATTGGATTCGTGCCCTTATTCCAGAAAAGTGTTGATTATTGATGGAAGACAGCCATTTGATTATGTCACTGATAGAGATGATATCAAATTTCACTCTGGGGACACTCTTCTGTATGCTAGAATACGGTATTTTATTGAAGAAGATCATTTGAAGAATCTGGATAAATGGTTTATGGAAATGGGATATCATGATGTGACAGAAGTTGGAGAATTCACCAAAGACTTGGCGGTTCCAGAAGTTACTGTTAATGGATGTATCTCTACTTTTTACCATTTCCATATGCAAAACGAGCGATTCGGAATTATAAAAAGCATCCTACCTCTATGTATACTGTAAGTGATAGAAAACCAATTTTTGCTTTTTTTTGTATTTTAATGTTTCCTACTTATGAAAAATTCAGCTTGTTGGTTGGAACCCTTTAAGTATTTTTTCTCCCAGATTCCTTTCGTCTACTTTCGAAATAATAGTGGTTGGGATTGCTACAGAGAGAAGATCCGTCAGCCTTCTACGTCGTTCAGTTGGCAAATTTTCTGTATCATCATCCCGTGATTGTGAATGTGGAAAGACAACGTCTTCTGATTTCTTCTGGGAACATTGTAGAATTTTTGAGGAACTCTAGAAATCTCAAAGTATCATGAAGAAAAAGATATTTCTCGGTACCGGAACATTCGTCGAATCCGTGATGGACAGTTATGGATTCATAACACAGAAGTGGTTTCCGACTTGAGAAGTTTCTCGAATCAGGAAAAAGTTAACTGCAAACCGGGAAGAGGCAAAAGAGAGTCATCAGCTGTCCGAGTGGATGCTACCAATACGAATTTGGAAAACATTGATCTTCCAAAGTTGACAAGATCTGAAAATTGTGATCGTTTAGTTACTGTGTATGGAGAGAAAAATGCGTTGCCAAAATATTCAGAATCTTCATGGATGGTATGAATTTCAAAACTTGAAGGAATATTAGCAGTTTGTTTCAGAAAAAGAACAAAGGCCGGAACCTGATTGCCATCCAGCAGGAACAAAGAAGTAGGTTGATTCGTACATGACTATTATTTGGTGGCCGTGGTCGAATGTCCCACAACGACAACTACAGTAACCTAAGAATATTTATATTTTCCTAATTTGTTTTTTTGATTTCAAAGATTAGTTAAAAACGAAAAATTAAATTTTGAAAAGAAGTCTATTGTTAGGACGAAGCGAAATCTCCAAAAGGAGCTTGACTTCTACGATGAACTGAACTCAACTGTCAAGGAGATACTCGATGATGACCACAAAGAGGGAATCAGCAAAAAACATACGATTCTGGATAGAATAGAGAGTGAAGATCTCTTGTCTCGATCGAGATTTGTCACTGAATACAATAAAATAGAGGATATCATATTTTTCTTGGAGAATAGTGTGGAAAGAAACGATGAGAGAAAATGGAATAAGCTAGTTACAATCAGGAAGGAACTCAGAAAAGCAGCTTTGAAGGCGTTCGGTGATGGAGAGTCAATCTTAGTTGTTACCTGTTGTCTAATGAAAATTTTATATTTCTCCAACAAAAAAAACAAAACAAAACTTTAACAAATACAAAAATATTACAAAAATGTTAGGACAAAAGCTCATTCAATGTTTGATGGAATATCGTCGAAAATTGACTTGATGGGTTTACGAGTCGTTGCGGAAGTTGACTGCTTTTGGGGAGTAGTTTTCGAATGTCCAGAGTATGCGAACGTGTTGCTGGTAGCGTGAATCGCTGGAGAGAGGAATCCGCGTCCTGCTGGTAGCTGAAATTTGAAAACTTTTTTCTATCGAGCCCGAAGTTTCACTCACCGGATTTGTTGGACTCATTCCGGCTGGCAGTGGGGATGCGGCATAATCCTGTTTTTTCTCCTTTCTATAGCAATTGATTATGCAATACAGTTTCAGAAGTGTAGTTATTACCTGTAAATGTAATCAAGTGTATCCTCATCTTTGGTATCCACTGGCGTATGCGACTTTGCCTTCATTTCGAATCCGAAAGCAGCCAACTCGAAACGGTCGCTGAGTGTGACCTGAAAATTATTTTTCTTGAGGTTAAAGAATTAAATTTTTTTTGAGGCTTAAGAATTAAAAAAAAAAACTTTTCGATGAAGATTTGTATTGTAGTTGAATCGCTCAGCGCATTTGTAAGCCATGTTTTTGTCTTTTTCGATATCGGAATCAGTTTTCATCGCATTTTGATCCAACCTCACCTGGAAAAAATGAAGCAGTGCTTCGATTAAAAGCGCTTGACATTGACTTACTTTGAATGGGGTTGTTGACAGTGTGATATGTGAAAATTCGCGAAAAGACGACATCTTTTGGATTAAATTGCGCAAAACTGCATGCAAATCAACAGAGAAAAAACTTGTGACGGGTTACTGTAGAACTTAAAGGCGCATGATGTGTGACGTTGAATGGCTTTGAAAAGATTTTGTAAAACAATGTGTACTGTATTGAATAAGAGAAACGGAACAGTTTCAAAAAAAAATTCATTCGACGAATGTACATTGTTTTAGCAATCACAGTCTACCTAATTGAGACCAGTTAACAAAAAAGGAAAGAAGTTTGAAAAAAGATCAAAGCAGTCTATATTCTCTCGTGGAAATGACTTGATTCGTCCGATTCGTATCCGTCGTTCTCAGCACCTCCACTTTCCAGATGTTCAGTTGTCACAGAGTATTCCACTTCTGATGTTTCTTGGAAGATGTGTGTTGGAGTCATGGGAACATTGTCATGGTCGTCATAAACTGTAATACCGTGATGCTCCTTCATGTGCTTTCCAAAGTCAACCTTTCCAGTTGGAGTAACACCCTCGCTGAAAATTTCAGACACAATTGGTTAAACATAAGAAATAACTCACATTACTGTGTTAGTTCTACTCCGTGTGTGTTCGATAAGTGCCTTTGTGAATACCAAGTTGCTGTTCAAATCACCACGAGCAATTTTCTTAGCGTCTTCATCAACCAAGTGCTATAAAATAGGCCATGAAGAACCGAGAAAAATTTATTTTGGCGAAAAAATACCTTGTATTTCCGGACCAATTTGGTCTTGTCCATTTCTTTCATGTTGGTCTGGTTAACCAAAATTGGTCGCAAATAGTCATTGTTCAAAGAGTTCCACGAATCACGAATCCAGTGATGTCCCTTGAACCCAGCGATGTCTTCCATTCCAGCCATAGTTGTATCGATGAGCTAAAATTCTCACTCGATTGGTAATCAAAACTATATCGTTACACTTACTTCACTATAAATGTGCTCAATCATGTTCTTTGAATGAACATTTTTCTTCTCTACTTGGAGGAACTCGGCAATTGGTTTCAAAGTGATTCCCTGAAAATGTGTTTTTTTCAATCTAATTTCCCAGATTTTTCATCCATACCTGGAGGAAGACGGTGAAATAAATGACAATAATACAACTAGTGACAAACATATTCTTCGCAGGTATGAAATCTGGAATAGCCACAACAAGACCGTATGCAATAGCACCACGAAGACCTCCGTAGGCCATGATAAACTGATCGACCTAAAAAATTTCAGTTTTGTTAGGTCGTAATGTTCTATTCTGACCTTGGTGTACTTATTCAAACGGTACTTATTCAAGAAGTAGCACATGACTACAACTCCAAGAGTACGGTAGATCAGGCAGAAAACTACAGTGAGTACTACGAACGAAGTATCCCAATGGTGGTTGGAAGATACTGTAGAAAGACCAAGGAATACGAAAATGACCGTTTCAGAAGCAAGCGAGAGCACTTTGATGAATGATTCTGTTGCTTGAACGGTTCCAGGATCCACGTTTTCACGACAGTACTGACGCATGGCAGCACCACAGAATACAATACTGTAATACAATTGTAAATTAACATACTAATTGTTAGAAACCTACGCCATAATACTGGAAAGACCGAAAAGCTCTCCGCAAAGGTAGCAAGTATATGGGAGAATAAGAATGAAGACAGAATTGAGAACTTTGATTTCATCTCCACGAGAATATTTGGTAAGAAGACTGGCAAGGAAAGCGAAGAGAAGTCCGATTCCAATTCCACCGAAGGCGACAACAAGGAAGGAAACACCTCCATTGATGTAGTCAGAAGTGATAAGATTCTCAGTTCCAATTTCAGAGAAAGTCAAGAACATTCGATACAGTACGACAGCAACTCCATCGTTCAAAAGAGACTCTCCGAACACGGCAATAAAAAGTACTTCGTTAACCTGCAAACTTTGATTTCTCGTATTGAATTGTTATCAGACAACTATTTTAATGATTCCTTACTTTTAGTTCCTCGAAAATGACAATTACCGCCACTGGGTCGACGTCTGCAGCAACCGAACCAAAAAGAAGCATATGGATAAGAGGTGTTTCGACAGAGAACAATCCCGTCAATCCGATTGCCCAGAGGGAGAGAGCTGGAAATTTTTCGATTTGTAGTTTCTAATTTGATATCACTTTGCTTCAAAAAATCTTACCAATAGCAACGATGTTGAACGTAGTTCCAATCATTGCAAAACAGAGAATCGATCCAAAATTATCAAAAAACTGTCTTGCGGGCATGAAATATCCAGCATCGAAGACAAGAGGAGGTAGAAGATAAAGCATGAATACTTCGCTTTCCAAGAAGAATGCGTTCTTTTGTACTCCAATCAATTTGAAAATGATTCCGATAATCAGTCCGATCATGATAAGCAGAGCAGAGTCAGGGAACAATTCGTTCAGATGAGGGATCAGGTTGAAAACTGGAATGTTTGTATTTTGGATTTTAATTGAGCTCATAAGTTTTATTTCTATCTTTTTGCATTTCTTAATAAGAACAATTTCGAAACGTTTTTCGGAGGTCCAAGTTAAACAATATTTTATAGCCCACTACAGTGCTCAATATTCAGCGAAACATGAAATGCCGTAAAAGAAGACTATCAAAACTTTGAACTCATATATCTCGGCTGCTAAAAAAGATATCAAAAATTGATCGACTGACAAAGTATTTTTGATATTACGATAAACATTTTGACAGTTGACACATTTCCAATATCTTTCACAGGAATTAAGATAACTGAGCTCAAACATGACAAATTTGGGGTTTTCTATTTCCGGGTCTTATAGTATTTTATGCCCCACTTTTTCAGCATTTCGAAAACTCTGAAATCCGGAATTTGAATTGAATCCGAGCTTCAAAGTCAAACAATTTTTTTCATTTTTCTTATTCCAAATTTCCGATTTTTCGATTTAGGAACTTGGATGGACATTGACTAGAGAATTGTTGAACTCTGACTCTGAGTTTTCGAATTTACAAACTTTTGAAAATCCGATTTTTAGCTTTCACAGTCTGAATTCGAGAATTTCTAGAATTCGACATGTTCTCTGAATATTCAAACTAAAGTTTCTGAACTCTAGAATTCTCAAATTCACTTTATCTCTGAATTGAAATTCTCAAAATTCAGGTTCAGCATAAACCGACTGGTTTGAACACAAATCTCAATCTGCCTTAACATCTTCCCATTAAATGTTCATAGAACTTACTAATTTTTGCAATGGATGATCCAATAAGCCACAGACAAATTGTCATTGGAATTTTCACATTTTCCCATTCGAAATAAGCAATTGGATACCTAGATGGATACTCTGTTTCTTTTTCTTCACATTCTGACTCCGCGTTTGTACACTGGATCCACAGAACTAGAATCCCAAATAGAATCAGACTCCGCCGGAGATGAATCATGATTTAAATACTGAAATGGGTCAGAGTTTGAAAAAAAAACAACCGGAAACAAGAGAAAAAGCTTTGGGAAAGTTCAAAAAGAGAGACGAGGGAGCACTGTATGTGCTCTTGATGCCGGGACTGATAAGACAAGTAATTTAGGAAAAGAACGAGAAATAGAGAAAGAAAAAGAAATGAATAAGAGAAACATGGTAATAGGATTGGAATCTCAAATATGACGGTGGTGGTGGTGGTTGAAATGGACAGGTGAGACTGAAATTGAAAGAAAAAAGAGGATTATTTTAATGAATTCTAAAAGTTTAATAATTAGCTTTATGATTCTCATTTGATTCAGAATGTTAAATAAATGGTTCACACACTGTAGCACCTGTAATAGAAGAAACTTTGAACCAGTTTTTCTCTGTTACTGTCAAAGATAGCAAAAAGTTGTCAACTAATGAATTGTTTATCAAAACATCAAAAGTGTTTTGTCAGTTGACACATTTTTAAAATCTCGCCTAGGAATTGAGATAATTGAGCTCGAATTTGACAGTGCGGGGGACCCTTCTATTTCTGGTTCTACGCTATTTTGATCTAGTTCTTTGTAGCCACATCCAAGTCAAGAATCATAGAAACTCAAAACAAATGGATCATAACTTTTATATTGTCTGTGAATACAAAAATAACTTTTTTTTTTGAGTGTTTTCAACCAAAAAAAACGGCCGGACGGAGCAAGGAAGCCACGTCCCGCATGATAGTCGGTAAAAAGTGGGAGAAAAGGCCATAAAGATAAGAAATTGGGAAGAAGGAGATGGCAACGTGTACGCGGATGTGACGATCGAATGGCACGAGCAAGATCAGAAAGGTTCGAGGCAGCTGTTTGGGAACTTTTGGATTTTATTCTTTTTCTCATAAATGTCATAGGAAGAATCAATATTCCAGTTTTTTTAAAAACAAAAACCATCTTTTGACATTTTCAAATTGCTTTAGAGGTCTACAAAAGTAATTAAAACTGAGCAGATGAATCTGAAAATGTCAGGAACTATCAATTCAACTAATGCTCCCAGGGGAGAATTTTAAAAACCAAGTACAGATCTTCCTCTAATAAAAGGCCACCACCCAAACCGTCAACTTTGAGCTCAATAAACTCAATTCCTGTAAAAGATAAAACAAATTTATCAATTGATGAAATATTGTCGCTATTATGATGAATAATTTATCAGTTGAGAAATTTTCGATATCTTTTACTAGAATCGAGATGATTGAGCTCAAAGTTTGGGTGGACTTCTATTAGAGGAAGTACGGCATTTGTACATGATGAAAGAGCGACTTCCAGAGCCTATAAATCCGTTTCGAAATCTCGTTAAGAAACTTTTGAAGTGTTGAAATATGATTTTCAGTTCAACTTATTATACTTAAAAATGGGTGGAATTTCATATTTCACAATTTTCCTCAAAAAATTCCAAATTGGGAAAATTATCCGCCCCAAAACTTTTCCAAAAAAAAACGAAGTCTAACCAGCGTCTTTCAGTGAGAACCTTCTTAGTGTATTGCCTGAAACTCTTACATAATACTCTGTAAAAACTGAAAGAGCTTGGAAGATCTGTGGAGAGCACCACTCTGGACCACAGTTCTGGTTTTAAAAAGCCAAAACATGGAATTCAAAGAAAAATATCAGAAATTTCAATGCATCCACTCTACTCTAACTAGCGAAACCAACTCTGGGATCAATAAACCAATTACGAATGTGCCATTTTGCGGCCGAAGAGCGCCAATAAATTAGCTTGTAAAAAGTTGGCAGTGTCGTCAGTCCTTGATTGATAAGGAGACTGCCCTCTATCTCATTACATGCAAAGTAGTACACTCTGTTAACTGATCAGTCGACACGTGGTGGTCGAGGCAAAGCTGAAACTGATGTTCGACAAATGGCTAAGTTTTTTATATATTGGCAAAAAATACAGAACAATAAACACTGCAATTTGAGTGAAGTCTGATACAGACAATGATTTACATATTTACATTTCATTTAACATTTTATCGAGACCTTTGATGTCTCGGACTGGTAAACTGCAGACGAATCCCTTGCACATGTACACCGCTGGATGAGGTCCTTCGGTCATTGCTTTGTGAGACGCGCCAGTAGCTCCCAGATCGTTCTCAGAACGAATGTGAACAGCTGAGAAGTTTTCGATAAACTTCTGGTTCAATCTCTTGCGAGTTTCTATCAGTAGTTCCGAATCGGGTTCTCCAACGAGAACAAATGTGATTGATCCCTTTTGCCAACGATTAAGAGCCACTGCCATTTTTGGGAGAGCAATTGGAACTCTGCAAAAATAAATAAATAAACACAACTTATAATAGGAAATCCCACTTGTTGAGACGTTCAGATGCTCCGCGGAAGCATTGGTGTGCTTTTTCTCTGTATTCTTCGTCTTCCAGAATATCATAAAATCTGAGCAAGTTGTTTGATGCAATAGAAGTTGCTGTAGGTTCTGCTCCGTCTTGATCTGAAAAAAAGTCAGTTGTGAAATCATTTTAAATATTCCAAAAACCATACTTGTAACGGGCCGTGCCGGGCTTTTTCCCGAATTTCAGAGGCCCGGCCCGGCCCGGCGGGCCTGTCATTCCACAAGTTTTGAAAATTTTAATAAAACACATAAGGGGGACCCTTATGTGATTTTTTTTCGATCAAAAATTTTTTTTCGAGTTTTTAAAAATATTTTTTGATCAAACAGTCAAACAATCCAAAAAGCACAAAAAAATATAGAAAATTGTATTGAGAGCTCAAAATTCGGTTTAAAATAACAAAATTTTTGCTACCGGCCTTCCGGGCCTTGAAATTTTCCTCAGGCCCGGCCCGGAATTTTACAAGTATGCCAAAAACGATTTACCTTCGATCATTCTGACAGACACTTTTTCATCCGTTTGTTCACTGATGAAATAGCCATTTCCACTCCAGAATTTAGAATCACAGATTTTCTGTAACTCAATGGCATTCTTCAGATAATCGTCTTTGCCAAGTGTCGTGTATAGATCAAGCAGCGCTTGAATCATGAAAGCGTAGTCATCCGAAAATGCCTTCATTTCTTGGTTTCCTTGCTCAACCTCGCCTGTAGGTCCCAAGTATACAGATCTCTTAAGTTCTCCATTTTCTGCCAAATACTTCTGAACAAATTCTGCACATTTTTCAGCTCTTTCGATATACTTTGTGTCGTTTGTAGCTTGATAAGCTTTTACAAGCCCAGTGATAGCCAATCCTTGCCACGCGGTCACCATTTTAGAATCGAGATGTGGACTTGGTCTTTTGGTTCTGGCTTCCCAAAGAATCTTCTTTGCTCTCTGCATTCCTTCGATCAGTTCATCTACAGTGATATCGTGGTTGATTGCGCATTCCTCATCAGTCAATAGCTTTCTCAAAACATTCTTGTTTTTCAGTTCGCCGTGTGGATCCGAAGATCTTGAAACGTTTCCATTCTCCTCCACGTCCAAGTAATCATTGAAGACGTCAACCAGATTTGCCGATCCTATTTTCATCTCTCCCAACAAAATTTTGATTTCTTCTTTCTCCCACACACAGAACGCTCCTTCCATTTTCTTGGTGGAATCATGACGTGGCAAGGAGTCAGCATCTTCTGCTGAGTAGAAGCCTCCATCTTTATGGCTGATCTTTTGCATGTATTGGAAAATGTCGTCAACAATGGTTTTTATATTGTCTAGCTTTCTTCCTGTCAATCTGTAGAAGTCAGAATACGTTGCCAACAATTGAGATTGATCATAAAGCATTTTCTCAAAGTGAGGAACGTGCCATTCAGCGTCCACTGAATATCGATGGAAACCGTTTCCAATGTGATCGTGAATGCCACCATCTGCCATTGATTCCAATGTCTTCTGAATCATTTTCACACTTTCTTTACTGCTTTCGGAATTCAATATGGGATCTGTGTTAGCCATGCAAATCAGGAAGTCCAAGTCTGAAGGTTTTGGGAACTTTGGTGCACCTCCGAATCCACCAAGTCTACTGTCAAATGACGATTGGTGTCTGGTGAAAATAGCTCGGAATACGTCTTCTGATCTGTTCACATCTCCTGAATTCAACTTCGGCTGCAGAAGCTTGATAATCTGAGCACCACGCGCCTTCAAGTTTTCTCCTTCCTTTTGCCACTGAACAATTTTCGATTGAAATGAATACCGTAAAACCTCTAATAGAACGACACCCGGATCGTCCACTTTGAGCCTATATATCTCATTTTCTGTGAAAGATATCGAAAAGTGGCTAACTAGTAAAATGTTGCTGATATCCTGATAAACATTTTACTAGTTAACCACTTTTTGATATCTTTCAAAAGAAATGAGATATATAGGCTCAAAGTGGACGATCCGGGTGTCGTTCTATTAGAGGTTTTACGGTAGATGGAAAAGTTCGACCACAAACCTCTTCGTGAATCATGTTCAGAATAGTAGGAAATCCAAGCATTCCTCGATTATCGTCTGGAGGGAAATAAGTGCCGCCAGTAATTGGGTGAAGATCAGGTGTCAGAAAAACGGACATTGGCCATCCACCATGACCACTCGCGGCCTGAATCATAATCAATTTATGAATTAGAAATTGTCTATTCTTACCACTACGAATGCCATATAAAGTTTGTCAACATCCGGGCGCTCTTCTCGATCAACTTTGATAGCCACAAAATTATCGTTTAATAATTTTGCAGTATTTTCATTCTCGAATGATTCTTTTTCCATGACATGACACCAATGGCAGGTTGAGTAGCCAACTGCACGAAATTTTTGTTTTCAGACTTGGAAAGTGCTCTCTACCTGACAAGAAAATCGGCTTGTTGGACTCTCTTGCCTTCTGAAATGCTTCTTCTCCCCATGGGAACCAGTCAATCGGATTATTAGCATGCTGAAGAAGGTACGGACTTTTTTCTGACGCCAAGCGATTCGTGTGCGTCGACGACCTATTCAGATATTTTATGAAGGAATTTCAAACGTTTTCACTCACATTCTGAACGCTAGTTTCTGTACATGAGCCAAGCGATTTAGCATAAACTCTGAAACCCAGCAATTTTATTCACCGGAACGAAAATTGTTTGCAAATATCTGTTGATTTCTTACAACATTTCAGGCGATTTTCTAATAGTTTGGAGATCAGTTTATTCGTTAGTCCAACAGAATAGTTAAAATATTTGTTATGCGTCATCAAGAGGATGCTTCTCCGGTGGTGGTCCACAAGGTTGAATCATTCGATTGATCAGGTTGAATCTGGTACGAGCTCGGCTCTCATTCTCTACGACTGCGATGTATGTGTTCATTCCGGGATGCGACATTTGGAAAGCTCGAGTGTCGCGATGCTGAAAATGAATTTGATTATTTCGAAGTTGGAATAATTAATAGCTTACCTGATTCACTACCCATTCGTGTCTGTTCATATCAGCATGGCCTGTACCGGTATATTTCGATTGAAGATGCTCCAGCTGAGCAAGTACGTGGAATCGTTCTCCAGGAAGAGCCATTTTCTGCAAAAATACAAATAAAAAATTTAAAGTAACAAAATTCTGCAAAATATTCAATTGTTTGGGTCCAGAAATGGTAAATTATAATCGATGACATGCGACGAACGCGAAAATAACAAAGGGGCGGAGCGAGTAAGTTGCGTGCGGCAGCATTGCAGAAAAGGTGCGCAAGGCTTGCAAAATCCTTCTTTTTCAACAAATTGAAGAGAAGAGAAAGGGAAAAAAAGAAGAAGAAGAAAAAAGATGATTGAAAAAAGAAAACAAATTAAAGCAAAAAAGCTATTGTCTATTCAAAATAATCGCGCGGGNGAACNANTNAAAATAACGNGTNGAGAGTCTCCAAACTNGNANAGGCGCTGCAGAGACGCAGACATTTTTACTCTTTCACCCGCGCGATTATTTTGAATAGACAATATGAAAATATTATGCTTGTCTGAGAAAAAAAAGGTTAAGACGCAGAGAAAAATAGTCTGCGTCTCCACCTAATAGGTGCTATTTATTTAGGCTCGCCGCTTCGATATCCCTACCGTATTCAGACTGCAAAAAATACTCCTTTTTTTCTCACTAGGGAATGACTCACAGAAGATGTGGAGTTATGGGACGAGACCTATATCATTCGAAAGAGGATGAAATTTCATTTTCAAATATATGCTCAGTTTTTGCGGCGGCCTCCGCTAACTCGAGAAATTTGGGTCAGAAGTTTTCAGTAGATTTTGCACTGAAATGCATACGTGAACGCTTCCACGTCCTCATTTCTTTTATACGCTTTGAAGAACCATTGAAAACAGCAGTGGGATGGTTCAGTGGTAAAGCGGCGGGATGGGGAAATGGTACTCTATGGTTCGACTCCTTCATAGTCGAAACTCTTTTTTTATTTTTTGTTGGTTTTTTATATGACCTGTTTTTGAGCTCAAAAGCTGTTTTCAGCAGTTTTCCATACTCTAAACACCTTTGGCATCTTGTCAAATACAAATTAACCAAGTTTTTGGAAAAAAAATTTCTGAAGAAAATTCGCATGTTTTCATGATCCATACACCTCTTTTCAAATTTTCAAAAAAAAATTTTTTTGAAACACAAAGAAATCTATATTTATTATTATAACGAGTTAAACAGAGGTGCACAGATGCTTATCCTTGATAATAAAATGTCTTTTTCCAAGAATATTTCAAAAATGGTTGAAATTCTCTAGCGGAAAACTGATGGTAGACTAGAGAGATCATCCATATCTCATTCCCAAAATATAGCCAAATCATAGCCAAATCATCTCTCACCCACTCGTTCACTTTTTTGCCGATGCTTTTTATGGATGGGACTCTTGGACCAAAAGCATTCATGGTTCTCTCCGAGCCAACAGGGCACTTTCCTCCGACTCGTCCAATTCCCAACTGTCCAAATCTGGAAGTGAGGGCCGGCAAAAGTCATATCATGACGAAGGATATGATGTGTGATTGGCTCAAGTCATGCGTTTTCATACCTTCCGTCCCGAAGAAGTTATTCATGCTGATTGACTCTTGGCCCAGTTTCAAGGATCATCAGACAATCGAAAACTGTGTGCCTCGAGGATATGATGTAACGATTCGCAATATTCCTCCAAACACCACTGGTCTCATCCAGCCGCTTGATGCCCACTGGAATGGACCCTGGAAGGTTACACCCTACCAAAAAACCAAAGTTAATTTTTTATTTCCAGAATTTTCTGAAGAAGTTCACCGCCTACGCGCTCATCTTTTATCCCGATTACATTATTGCTCAACGCAATAATGAGATATGGATGATCTCTCTAGTCTACCATCAGTTTTCCGCTAGAGAATTTCAACCATTTTTGAAATATTCTTGGAAAAAGACTGGATACAGTGACTTCTACTCACCGTTTCTAACGCCATCGGAATATTGCTTCGGAAAAGTCGACCACGAGGATTGTTACTCACCAAATTGTCCGAATCTTGCATTCATCAAGTGCTCCAGATGCAAGGAGTTCATATGCTTCGAGCATTTTATTATCAAGGATAAGCATCTGTGCACCTCTGTTTAACTCGTTATAATAATAAATATAGATTTCTTTGTGTTTCAAAAAAATTTTTTTTGAAAATTTGAAAAGAGGTGTATGGATCATGAAAACATGCGAATTTTCTTCAGAAATTTTTTTTCCAAAAACTTGGTTAATTTGTATTTGACAAGATGCCAAAGGTGTTTAGAGTATGGAAAACTGCTGAAAACACTTTTGAGCTCACAAACAGGTCATATAAAAAACCAACAAAAAATAAAAAAAGAGTTTCGACTATGAAGGAGTCGAACCATAGAGTACCATTTCCCCATCCCGCCGCTTTACCACTGAACCATCCCACTGCTGTTTTCAATGGTTCTTCAAAGCGTATAAAAGAAATGAGGACGTGGAAGTGTTCACGTATGCATTTCAGTGCAAAATCTACTGAAAACTTCTGACCCAAATTTCTCGAGTTAGCGGAGGCCGCCGCAAAAACTGAGCATATATTTGAAAATGAAATTTCATCCTCTTTCGAATGATATAGGTCTTGTCCCATAACTCCACATCTTCTGTGAGTCATTCCCTAGTCAGACAAGCATTATAGAAGAAACTTATAAAAATAAAAATATTTCGATCAAACTATTAGGTTGCGCTCCTCACTTTTTGTTGAAGGGTCACGTAAATCTATATTTATTTTTCAAGCTTTTTAAAAGTCCACAGACTTTCATCAGGACATACGCGTGTAGCGTTTTATATACTGTCTATTCAATAAAAC